AATAATAATAATAATAATAATAATAATAATAATAATAATAATAATAATAATAATAATATAGTAATAATAATAATAATATAGTAATATAATATAATATAGTAATTGGCACACTGGGTGCTATTCCAAAAGCACTGGAATTACATTTAAAACAGTTAAAAATTGACAAAATCACCATCAGTCAAATGCAAAAAGCCGCACTGCTTGGATCTGCACGCATATTACGAAAATACATTACGATGTTCTAGGCCCCTGGGTGGGGCCCAACTAGTAACCAATGCCAAATCCGGCGAAACAACTGGCCGCTGTGATACAATTGTATAATAATAATATACCATTTCCTTATTATTCCTAGCAACAGGCTATCTTACCTCCATCAAGGTGCAAAGGTATGGGTGGTAAGAAAGACTCACAGGTTTCCAGAGAAAGTTCCCCTATCAAAATCAGGTTGCCAAATGGATGGTTGTTATCATTCAATTATTTTATTGCATGAAATATTTTTATATCCCAATTAACAACCTGTGATCTGTTGGTTACAGATCCTTACCAAACACAGAGAAACAGAATGACAAAGGACAACAAAACAGGGGGAACAGCTGTGCCTTCTGCTTTTTACGATTGTGGTGACATGCAGACAGCCACACATCTGTATATCTGCTCTTTGTGTCCTGATCAATGAATATTTGAAGGCCTCCTGGCAGTGTGGAAGAATGCAATTAATATTGCCAGTTTCTGGGCGAGATGTGTGTAACTTGTTTAACACATATTTTAATCTTTTGCCTTATATTATTTAAATTTGACCTTGTATGTTCTAACCTAGGCTTGCCAAGAGCATGGTCCCGACAAAAACCCCTTTTATTAATTGACTGCGAATTCTGCTCATTCACGCCCAGCAAAGTCTTTCAAACGGAGGATTTACAGTCACAGACCTCATCTGGCTTGGAGAGCTGCCAGGCCGAGATCTGCAGAACTTGGCAAGGAGCCTCGAAGAGTCACGAACCAATTAAGGGAACCAATTTTGTCTCCTGCAAACTCCACTCCCCTTTCGCTCCTCTTTTATTTCTTCTGGGAGGGCCCATTCATCATCCACCTGTGGCCTTACTCTTAAGTCGACCCCTGTTCTTAAGCTCTTCCCTTCGTCTGGCAACTCTGCGGATGCGCACACTGGGAACAGGCTCCAGCTGTTCTTCCGCCTCACTGATTGTCTGACTCTGATAACTGTCAGACGGCCCTGGCCCCCTCTCTGCCTCCGATACAGAGCCCTCCTCAGAGCCTTCCCCAGACTCCAAGACTGGCCCATCTTCCTCCCCAACCTCCTCACTGTCCGAATCTGCTGCCAGCTCTGCTGGCCGCTGGCGGGCCACAACATTGTTTAGCCTTATTTTAATTGGGATGCTTCTGATGGGAATGAGCCAACAAATTACTCCTCTCCGTCTTGACTCTGGCAGGTGAGAAATCTCACAAGAGAAAAACCGCAAAGGATTTTGGCAAAGCAGGACCCAACCGAGACCTTCGTGGGATTTGACTCACCTTAATGAAATAAGGAAGTCCGGGTTTCACGAACAGAGGTGTGGCAATCAAATCCAACTTGTAAGGAGACAAGGCGTATTTAATGGTGGTCAGTTCAGCATCCTCACTGTGGCCATCTGTCAAAAGAAGGGATTGGATGTTTTCAGTAGAAGAACTATTGTCTTTCCTTTGGCCAGGAAAATCTCCTTTGTTTACTGAACGGGATTGATCATCCAGGTCTGAAGGACTCTGATGATGTAGAACACAAACCAAACCAATTAAAGACCAATCTGGAACCTACGGATGGATGGTCTTAATTAATCAGCTGGGGTGAAAGGTTTATTGGAATAAAACACATGGGTTAGGTCAGCTGTGGTGGCGCGGGGGTTAGAAGGCAGTATTGCTGGCTAATTCACTGCCCACTGCGGCGAGTTCACTCCTGACTGGCTCCAGGTTGACTCAGCCTCCGTCCATCCATCCATCCAACATCTTTCCCTTTCTTTCTTTCTTTCTTTCCCTTTCTTTCTTTCTTTCTCTTTCTTTCTTTCTTTCTTTCTTTCTTCTTTCTTTCCCCCCCCCTCTCTCTCTCTCGTTTCCGAGGTGGGTAAAATGAGGACCCAGATTGTGTGGGGCAACAGGCTGACTCTGTAAATTGCTTAGAGAGGGCTGGGAAGCATAGTGAAGCGGTTTATAAGTCTAAGTACTAGTATGATGGATGGATGGATGGATGGATGGATGGATGGATGGATGGATGGATGGATGGATGGATGGATGGATGGATGGATACTTGTAGATAGATGATAGATGATAGATGATAGATAGATGATAGATGATAGATGATAGATGATAGATGATAGATGATAGATGATAGATGATAGATGATAGATGATAGATGATAGATGATAGATGATAGNTATCTATCTATCTATCTATCTATCTGTCTGTCTGTCTGTCTGTCTGTCTGTCTATCTGTCTATCTATCTATCCTGACTCTATCCTGACCACTTAGAGAGGGCTGTAAAAGCACTGTGAAGCGGTATATAAATCTAAGAGCTTATATTGCTATTTCTATGAAGGTATGCTAGGGGGTATACATACCATTTCTCCCCAGAAGTAGATGCTTGTGTGTGTCATTAAGACGTTTCGCAACAGCAAATTCACAGCAGATCCGGAAGGCATAAATGCACCTCCCCGACCCAGTCTTAATACGCTTGATTCTCTCTTGACACGTCTGCGGGAAGGGGTAATGCTGTGCTCCGTTCTGACAGCACTTCTGAATTTCCTTATTTTGAAACCGGGCAACTGAAAGGATGATATAACACAGAAGCAAAAGGGATAACCGGTGGCTTAGAGCCAGTGGTGAAATCTAAAAATTTTCACTACCGGTTCTGTGGGCATGGCTTGGGGGCGTGGCTTGCTGGTCGCGTGACTTTCACATTTTACACAAAAATAACACAAAAGCTACACAACTGACTCACACACAATGCAAAAGCGCACAAAACGGCCCCTGCAACAAAAAAGCAGGAACCTCACAGAGCCACAAAGAGCTCAACAACCAACTATCACATTTTACACAAAAATAACACGTATAATAACAAATATAGTCAGCGGGGACGCCAAATTCGCTGAGCAGCCGTGTTGCTGGTTGAAGAACGGTGGCGATTCGCTTAACGGATGTGGTGGGGAAAGTTGTAAAATGGGGCAAGCCCCACCCCACCCCCCGGCGCCAGAGCATCAAGGAGTCCACATGTTTGGGTTTACCACACACCTAGCCTTTCGATGTCATGCTTGAGGGAGCGGGTGCTTCTGACGATCGCAGTGCAAGTTTCATCTGTGGGAGACGAGGGAAGAAAATCAGTGATTGGGCCCATCAAAAGCAGCAATGCTATCCCAGAAGTATGTGCAATGTGCAGCTAGGTAATATCATCAAGTGCTGGACGAGGAGGAGGAAAAGGAGGAGGAGGAGGAGGAG